TAGATTCTTTCACTTCATTTATTCCTTCATAAGTTATGTAAAGTTTATCGTAATTTCTTTTTTTAGTTGTACAAGTAGATACACGCATGTAATCTTCAAATTTTAATACACATAAAAATTAGTTTAAACATTTTAGATTTAATTGAGATAAATCTCTGTGCTCTATGCTCCATTCAAAAAAAAAATGTAATTAAGTTTTAATACCATTTATGAATGGTGAGGTGTAGAATATCTTTCCTTAACTAACATCAACAAGTAATAATCTATAGATTACAAGAAAGTAGACATACGAATTTTCTAAAAATCAAAATGAATGTTATAAGATAAAGGTGTTCGAGTGATTGAATACCCTTCAACAGTATTACGATTACCAAAATTAGTCATTAATAATTTTTTAAAAGTTTTCTAAGACTTAGTTTTTAAATCTCACTCTGATACCACTTGAAAGTTTGTGAATGTTGTTAAACCTCAAAAAACCAACACAAGGCTAATCAAGAAAGGGGTAAATTAGTTATTTTAAAAAATTTAAACAAAAAGAAAATATTTTTTTAGCCTTTTTAATATTTGAAAAAAACACCTTAATCCGCCAATGCTGAAGCAAATTAATTTCACAATAATACAAAATCAAAGTTTTTCAACCACACAGTAGATCATAGAAAAATAAAAGTATGGAATAATAAGAACAAAACACATAAAAATTTTTTAGTGGTTTGGTCCAACGTGACCTACATCCACTCGCTAGAAACCTCCTTTCAAGGTATTGCACTAAAAGTAATATCTCCTTTTGCCACCACAATAAGGTGGAGAAGTCCTTGCAAAATCTTTTTCACCAATCCAATGAAGGCAAAGAATCTAAAATTCTTTTTCACCCTATTGGTGAAGGTAGAGAACCTGGAATCTTTTTCACCCTCTTGGTGAAGACAGATAACCTGGAATCTTTTTTTTTCCTTTTGGAGATGGTTGAGAACCAAGAATATTTTTCTCCCTCCTAAAGAAGGTAGAGAACCTGGGACTAATATCATGGAAAGTCTTCCTAGAGCCACCAAAGGATCAAGGAAAAAGCTTGAAGACAATAGGGAAGAACCTTGCTTAAAGAAACCTTGTGAATCCCTCACATCTCTCACTCACAAACAACTCTCTCTCTCTCTCTCTCTCTCTCTCTCTCTCTCTCTCTCTCTCTCTCTCTCTCCTCCAAAGCACTCCTTAACTCCCTCTCCATACTCCCTCTCAAGACACTTAGTAGAAAATGTCTTAGAAGCAAGTCTAAGTAAGGGTTTAAATAGAGAGCCTCTTTAAAACTCTAAATTTTAATCTTTCAACTTTGATCATCATGTATGATTAGTTCAGAGTACTCTTGTTAGTAGTATACGAGGCATCATACCAGATACGATCAGTTCAAAGAGATGAACTGATCGTCCAGGATAATTGAGAACATTATCTAGTATGATTAGAACAAAATAACCATTTTAGACATTATGAAATGTATTGCCTATATGTCAAGAGGTGTACTGATCATCCAGTACGATATGTGATGATTTAATTATCGTCCCATGCAGAGCTCGGTTCATACAATATGAAATTAGGGGTTCATCCGGTATGATTAGTTGAAAACTATGGCATTTCATTTTGGACGATATGCGACGATTTAATTATCATCCCATGCATCGCTTGGGTCGTACAGTGCAATCATCACCAATCGTTCTATACGATTTGATTGAACAAATTAACCATAATTATTCCCCTAATCACAAGATTAATTTATGCATGATTGTTATGTATGGTATAGTACGATACATATCATAAAGTATGATTAGACACAAATTTTGAATATTAAAATATTATCTAAATTATGATTGGCGGTTATTTTACTTATTATAATTGATCATCCTGTAGGATAAGGATCCTATAGTACTATGAGTTTAATCAATCTTACTTAGCATAGGTGCTCTAATTAGGGTTTTTTGTTAACAAATCGTCTAATACGATATAAATCATCATGATCAATTAATTCAAAAATTTTAACTATTTCCCAACTCACTAACTCACCCTCTTGAGTAAGTGTGTGTAAGGTTACTCAGCTTTAGGATCCAAAACAATCCATGATTGACTCAAGAAAGATAAAAATATATGTAAAGACTAAAAATATAGACTTTGATCTTAGTCTACTCAATCTTGAACTGATCAAAGTTGTAAGTGAACAGTGAACCTGAAATGTTAGTGAGCATGACAAAAATAGATATGCAATAAATTCAATTAGCATAGTGAGATATCCAATAATGTTTGTTATAATCAAAATCATAAGATTTGGGTCCATACTTGCAACACGATTCTCCCTCCTCTAAATAATCCCCAAGGTTATATTATAACCTAATGCTATTAAGAAAACCTATTTACCATCTTGCCCCTCATACTAATCCAATCCAAAGGCTGAAGTGATTTGACAAATTTAAGAGGGTTGGAGGGCTAAATTAGCTTGAGAAAACTAAAATAAGCCAAATTGAATGGATATTGATTTTAGATTTTATTAAAATAATTTGAGCTAATTGAAGTCAGTTTGATTTGGATTAGGTAGAGAAGTCAAATTAGGCAGATCAGAGCCGTCAAACTTTAAAATTTGATTCAAGTCGAGTTAAATTGACTCGACAATGCTAGATTGAATTTATTGAATTAGAAACAAATTTTTTCTGATTAATTTGGGCTCGGCTCGACTGAATTTAATGGTTGATAATGATGTTGAAGTCAAATCAGACTCAAATCGATTTAAGGTCATTCAATTTTGTTTATTTTATCAATTTGACATCAATTAGCAAAAATATGACTCGATTTAATTTTAGAGAATGGACAACGACAATGATTATAGATTTGTATTTAAAAATGAGTTCAACACCGATAATAATATTAGCACCTACTCTAGTGATACTACATGTGTATAACTTACAGTATTTGAAAGATCAATAATAACCTTAGAGTGTGATAGGAAGAAATTTGTTATAATACTTGATTGACATGGCCTCTCATTGCATAAGTGGTTGATATATATAATTGAATGAATTGAATGATTATATAATAGGAATTGATTACCATCAACGAGCTTTAGATTTAAATTTTAACTAGATTGGGATTTTAATCGTTTAGATTTTTGTCCTACAGATTAGTTTTATATGGTTTTGTGCCTGAATCCTTAAGAAAATATCATGGATGATATTTTTCTACGGTGGATAGATTATAATAACTTAGAAATATAAAAAGGGAACTTTTAAAGGAAAAGATTTTAATTCATGTTTTACACCCATTTATATGTGTTTGGATGTCTTTTAAAGCTTGAATTCTCTAAATTGAGTCAATAGGATCTGGAGTAATTTTTGGTAAATTTTTAAAAATATTACTATTTGAGTGCCTCAATATTAGATGTCTGAGTTAAGGGTTTCTTACTTATTTGGTGTGACTACTGAAATGCATGTTACTAATTCATTATTATTGTATGATTTTGCTCATATTGTGTTGGTTTACTATCATTATACAGATTATTATTATAGCAATGATTTATTATTACTGCTACTGTATTTATTGGTATCGATATGGACACAGAATTGTTATTGAATTATTACTAATTCAATGTTATTATTATTGATTCATTATAATGATTACTAATATTGAGCATGTGATATACTTAGTATATGATATACTAAGCATGTGATTAAGATATCAATATGATATTGATATTGATATTGATATAGAATAGCTGAATAATATGTATACATCATTATGAGATTTTACTGCATTAATTTAAGTTTGATAGTTCTTTACTGTTGCTTTAGTTTTACTACATTATATAATTATTTTGTTGGTTGATAATACTGATATTATGACTGCTTTATTAATTTGATTCAGCACATGTATTGGTTTAGTGATTTTTTCACGATATTAATTTACTAGCTTTTAGACTATATTATTTTACTGTTTATAGATTCTACTATTACTACATGTGAGTTTATATTTTTTGCACTAGTTCTTGATCATATAACAATTACTATTTTGAATTTTCCCACTACATTAATTTACTAGCATTTATATTGTATTATTTTAAAGTTTATAGATTCTACTGTTACTGTATATGAGTTTACATTTTTTGTACTAGTTATTGATCATATGACAATTGCTATTCTGAATTGACTTATGACATGCATATTGCTTATTTAACTTTTTTTTTTTTTTGGACATTTGGGACAATTAAGGCATACTTACACACACAACGCTTACACCTCTTAGTTGAAAGCCTAAGCTCCCAAGCAACAAACCAATGTGAGTTGTGTCATACTTTGAATTGAATTATAGGATTTTAGTGTGACCTGGTGGATTGTTTAGCTCATTATATGTGATTTAAATTATTTCAGGCCATGACAAAAGATTAGATGTATGAGATTGATCATAGCAAGACCCCTCAATTCCGTTTATTTTGTTTTAGTTATTATTTTATACTCAGGATTTGAATAGACATGATATGATTATATGATTCTTGAATATTGTATATAATTTTTTGAGTAATAAATATAATTGTATACCGATATAAGACAAGATTATTAGTAGTGGCAAGTTAAATATCAATTTTTATGAGTTTAATGTATAAATAATATGATCTACATGTCATGCATACAAATTCCATTGCTTTTTATAAGAAATTTAATAAGTATTTTATTAATTTGTAAAGTAGATGTTTCATGATAGAAATTTAAAATGAAATTCTAAAACGATATATTAACCTTTGTAGTGATGCATTTTTATCTTTAATCAAAATTTGTAAAAGACTGAAATACAAATAATTAAAAGTGGAATCATAAATTTGTTTATAATATCAATGACTCCAAATATTTTAAATCTTAATCATTAGAGATTTCAATGAAAAATGAAGGATATATTCTCCTCCTATAAGAAGAATTAGCATTCTCCATCCAACCAAAATTGAAAGAGTAATATTTAAATATAAAATCAAAAGCATACTCTTTCAAATCATTAAAATTCATGGTATGCATTAATCCAAATAAAGAAATGGTTCAAGTTTACATGGCAGTCTCAAGACCCACTTAAAAAACTTTCTTATAGTAGAAAACTCGTACAGGATGAAGCATCAATGCTTCCACTGGCAATGCAAAGATCTCCTAACAGTTTCCATGGGCACAGAAACCTGAAGGAGACGACGCATTCCGGCGAACAAAGCCTCCTCTTTCCACTGATAAAAGGCACGCCCAAGGAGAAACCTTCAGTATCGATCATGACGCCTATATATGGACAGCAAGAACAAGTACATTCAGTTATGGCTTTCCACGAAACAAAAATATGAAAGAAAAAAATATGTTAGTGCATGAGAATAGAAGCTGCAGTAAATGTTTAATGAAGTTTGGAAGATATTCCTATCAGTTTGTTTCATCTTATACCATTCGAAATGATGCCCATCTCTCAAATTACTTAGCCTGAAATATTTCAGGAAGACGAGTGATAAAAGGACAACATAAAGAAAATAAAATGCAAAAGTAACATACAATCACGCATGCACACAGAAGCATTCCGTCATTCTCAAATCAATCCAGGGTGCCACCCCGCTAACGCCACTAATATCATAAAATGATGGCTCTGTTTGGTTTGGGGGAATTGAGAGAGTGGAAATTAAAAAGAAATGAAAATGATTCAAATTATTTGTCACCTCATTCTTAGGAGAAATTATTAGGTTCGGACAACGGATAGAGAAAATCATCCGGATTTCTCTCTGTCTACAATTAAAGCGCAGTCAAAGCACAGTTACTGTAGCAGCTACGTTTTGGCTGTGCTTTTACTGTAGACAGAAAGAAATACGGATGATTCTCTCCATCCGGTGTCCGCACCTAATAATTTGCCCATTCTTAGGTCGAGGAATTAGGCAGAAAAAATATATTTCTCTGTAATTATTTGATCAGAAATTGTGTTTATTTCTTGTTAGAAGGGAGTATGGAAGTTACAATGATAATCCGACAATTTTTTTCTGAATTTACATTTCCCCTAATACCTTCAAACCAAACAGATCCTAAAGTCCGGTGAATAAATGATTGATGTGATTACTTCAATTCCAATATGCATGGAATTCACATACGTCAAAGTTAGGAGTACAATGGGCAATGTGTTCCATGCTTCTTATGGGATGTGCTAATGATAACCGGTAAGTGTAGTATCTACTTGGATCAGCACGAATTAGTAAATAGAGACTATCGTTTTATTTGGGATGGCTTTCTTACTGCTTCTTAAAACAGCTTTCTAGTACAAACATTTTATTTTTTTACTAAAAAATTATTTTAAGAAGTAAGAAACCCGTCCAAAACGAAGCCTAAATATGATGAATGTAAAAAAAAGGAAAAAAGACCCTCACAGAGTATGTTAAATGCAGCTCAAGCACAAGTCTTCAAAGTTGCACCATCATGCATTTCCCTTAAAAAAAGCACATAAAATACCCAGAACCAATTAAGCTATTTATGACTTTTTACCTGTGCCTGTCATAATTTCTGGATCGCTCCCTTGAACGAGATCGAGATCTTCGCCGGTTCCCAGAATCATAATGGCGAGATCGACCCGAACCTCGATCACGTTTGTGGTCATTTCCCCACTCTCTATCAGAATGCTTATCATGTTGTTCCCTACTCCGACGATCATATTCATGTCCTCTTTCGCGACTGTCACTTCGATTCTCTCGACTTCGATCCCTTGACCTAAAATTCGAGATTTTGTTCATCAAATAAGATTGTCGGAATGGGAAATGAATGAGAAAGTCGAACTATAGACAACCAACTCATTAAACAGCTCATAAAACATTAGAATACCTTCTGTCCTCAGATCGGTCTCTCATACGAGACTTATTTGTGGTCTCCTGTTAAAACAGTATGTTAATCAATATGCTTCAAAACAATTAAAGAAAACAATAGAGTAAACATAAACATGAATAGCAATTATTTATTAGCGTAGCTGCGTAGTCCATATCATGAAAACTAAGGTTTCAGTTAAAACAGTGTTGTGATTGCAGATATAATAAGTCGAGGAAAATCATCCTATGTCAAGCACAGAAAACCTCCAGTATAGAATAAATTACAAAATTCAAAAAGAGAACCAGTGCAGAATGTAACCTTTTTAATCCTAGGACATATATGATAACAGTAATAATTACAAATTTGAGAATTTTTAGAGTAGAGTTTCAAAATAAAAGAATTTCTAGTCAAAAGTCGCAACTCACCATGCAAAATACAAAAGCAATTGATAAAACAACAAGAGAACCCATTATAGTACAAAACCTATCAAAATTAAAGTCAACATCAAAACAAAAAACCAAAAGTAAATCAATCATGGAGATAGGGGCTTCGAATTGCAGAGATGATAATAGCATGCAACTATCCTGAAATTCACACGTTATCACACCTGTAGAAATGAACTCTTCAACATAATGACAGAAGTGTACATGTTATTTTTACCATTTTTAATAACATAGGCCATTTAATTATGGTAAAAGGGTGATTTAACAACATGAACTGCATTTTTCAAGCATTATTAGCAAGTATCAATGTTAGGTCTATTTAATGATAGCATAATGTTTGATGAATTTTAATTGATTGATTAGCAATTCAATTATAGCAAAATTCTATCATTATATAGTCTCAGAATCCGTCAGGTCCATAACAAGAAATGAGAAAAATTTTCAAACCAACGGTATTTGAATTATAAGAGGAAGATCTCTAGAATTGAAAAGATTTCCTGTAACTCCGTATTTTGATCATGAAATTGATAGTCTACATTGAAATAACACACCAACAAGATGTCAACAAATTTTTCTCATCATTTTCCTCTTTTTTCCAAAAATCATAAATAGTTGATTGTCAGGAAAGAAAAAGACAACTGCTTAAGGAATATCATATATCATTGAATCATCAAGGAGTTATCGAGAATCTAAACTAAATTAGAGGCAATCGGAAACATCTTGCTCATCAAAATTTCAAAATACATACTAGCTAACAAGATAGCTAACGCATGTAATCTGCTGACCTGACAGCTCAAGATGGAATGTACACGTTGAATTAAGATTCAACTTCTTGCAAGGCAGCCCTTAATGAAATTTTGTGCATAAAAACCCCATAAAGGCATTGTACAAAAGAGGAAAATATGGTGGGAAGTACAAATCACTTGGGAAATGCAAACAGAAGAAAGCAACCAGCTGCGATGAAGGAAAGCTCAAACCTTCGCGTAAAGAATATCAATGACCTTTTGTATTCATACAGAGATGAATATAAAATGTGTGGATAGTTATGCTTCAGAGTCAACAAAAAACAATAAAGATCAATAACAACAGCTTTGGCAATCATGAGTTATAGAGATTACACAGTTATACACTTGATTAAATCGACACAGTCCTGTGTCCGTACAATACATTCCATGCTTGCTGAATCAGTCTAAGGAAAGATTGAAAAAGCATCTGGCAGGCAGTAATAGTAAAGCAGAGGAAGAACATCCAAATCAGTGAGTTGAATCATAATTATTACATAGTAAACTGATCGACCTTTAATTTTATAAGCTTTAAATACGGTTGCTCAACTAGCATCTTCTTCAACTAGCAAGTACTGAAGATGTCCTAATGAAAGTCCACACAATGCCAATGCAACAGGCATAAATCTTATTATACACTATGATTCCTATTTATAGATCTATACTAGATGTTTTAATAAGAAAACAAATAACTATAGAATAATGAAATATAACTCTTCCTAAATCAGCTGCTCATCTATGGAAGGTGTTTAACGTGATTAAGGCAGGCCTCCCACGGATTTCTCCTTGTAGCCGTGGGATCAAGATGCGAATGAGAGGCTTTTTGAAATTTCTTTGTTGGAGTGGGCTACTTCAATTCCGAGAAAGTATTTTAGTCTACCAAGTTCTTTGATGTTAAATTCCTTGGTAAGATTTTTTCTTAAACTATTTTTTTCCTCTTCGTTATTTCCAGTCAAGATAATATCATCCACATATACTAATAATATTGTGACTCCCCATGAGTTTGAGTGTTTAAAGAATAATATTGTGACTCCCCATGACTTTGTCCATACCCATTCAAAAGCATGAATTTTGATAATCTTCCAAACCAGGCCCTAGGTGATTGTATTTTAACAAATATAGGGCATTTCTCAACCTGCATACTTTGTCACCTCTAGATTTTTTTTTAAATCTAGGTGGTATCTCCATAAATATCTCTTCCTCCAAGTCCCCATCTAGAAATTCATTTTTTACTTCTAATTGTTCCAAATGCTAGTTGTACTTAGCTGCTATGAGAGTAAGATCCTGACAGTGTTCATCTTGGCGACAGGAGCAAAGGATTCTTAGTAGTCAATGCCATATGTTTGAGTATACCCTTACGCCACTAGTCTTGCTTTGTACCTTTCCAATATACCATCAACTTTGTATTTTATAGAGAACACCCATTTGTAGCCGACATGTTTCTTTCCTTTCGGAAGGTTGATGATTTCCCACGTGTTGTTCCTTTCTAGGGCCTGCATTTCATCCTTCATGGTATTTTTTCAATTTTCATCAGATAAGGCCTCAGAAATATTATTACGAATATGAATATCTTCTAGTGTAACAAGGAAGTTTTTGTGTGAGGATGAAAAATTATTGAAAGAAATGTAGTTATGAGATACAAGGGAGGTGGTGAGGTTGAATTTACCTTAATTTCAGAAGATGTTTCAGATTCTTAGATCTACTTAGGGGCATATTTTGAACTTATACGCCTGGAGTATACACTCCCAAATCTACTGGTAGCTTTGTACTCAATTTCCCTATTTTTGAGTTCAGGAGGATTGGTTTGAGGTGGAGGAAAGTCAAGGGGAACAAGCTCGCTTTCCTCATCTTCCTCAATTTCAGTCTCCCCCTGAATATGAGGATTGAGAAAATAGGAGTTTTGTTCGGCTAAAATAACATAAACAAAGACGTTTTTTTCGTGGGGTGGTGATAGCACTTGTACCCTTTTTGGATTGTTGAATATCCAACAAAGATTCATTTGAGTGCTCTTGTATCTAATTTTCCTCTATTTTGGCTGTGAATATGAACATAGGCAATGCACCCAAAGATTCTAGGTGTAAGGTTACTATGAGTCTGAAACTCGGGGAAAAAGGAGGAGAGGATATCCATTGGAGATTTCAGTCCCAGGGCTGTTGAAGGTAGTCAGTTTATGAGGTAAGTGGCAGTGATGAGAGCCTCGCCCCAATAGAATTTGGGTGTATTGTGGTGGAATAGGAAGGCACAAGTGGAGGCTAGAAGGTGACCATTTCTCCTTTCTGTTACCCCATTCTGTTGTGGGGTGTGAACGCAGGAGGATTCATGGATGATACATTTACTTTGAAAGTAGGAGGATAGGGTTTAGTTGAAGTGATCTTTAGCGTTGTCATAATGAAATTTCCTTATTTTCATCCCGAATTGATTCTAGATTGTGGTGTGAAAAAGGGGAAGAATGATATTAACATAGGATTTATTTTTAAAGAGATAGATCCAAGAGACTCAAGTGCAATCATCAATAAATGATACAAACCAGCATGCACGAGAGATGTTGGGGATTTTTTAGGGTCCCCAAATATCGCTATGAATAAGATAGAAAGGAATACCACATCTCACATTTTTTTTCTGGGAATGAAGCTCTTTTATGTTTGGCTAACTGACAAGTTTCACAATGAAAGTGTTCATTTTTTAACTTCTGAAAAAAGTTTGGATACACATGTTTTAGGATATCAAAAGAGGGATGTCCTAATCTATAATGTTGAAGTTATATAATGGTTTTCCTATCAACTAGGGATAACATAGAGTAGCTATTTGTACTTCTAGGTTATACAGTCCAGCTCGCTCCTTAGCAAGTTCAATCTTCTTACCCGATCTCTGGTCCTAAAATAAGCAATAAGCAGGGTTACATATTAATTGGCAATGATGGTCATTGGTAAGTTTCTATATAGATATTCAGTTTGTGGATAATTGGGATACATGGAACACATTTTTTAGGATGAGGGAGAGAGTTAGGTGTATGTTCCTTGGCCTACTACTGTGATAAATGAACCATCAACAGTGATGATTTTCTTGTTATTGGGCAAGGAGTGCAATTGACGAAGTGGGTAGGGGAATGTGTCATGTGATATGTGGCTCCTGAGTCAATGATCCATAATCCTTTTAAAAAATTTGTAGAGGCACTTAACCCAATGGAAAGAGGAAACTTACCTGAAAGTGCAAGAAAGGAATATATGTTTGGTTTTTCAAGGGATACCAAGAGTTATTTTAGTTTATCAATATCTTCCTTATTGAATTTTTTGAAACTAGATTGTGTTTTTGGGTTAGGCTGACTTGTATTATTGGTTAGTGGTGTACTTCTTTGATTCCACTCCTTACTAGGGGGCTTTACATGTATCTTTCAGCACGTCTCATTTATGTGTCTTGACTTCTTGTAATAACTACACGAAAGAGAGTTTTTATCTTTAAATTTTGAGGAGTCTTTACCTTTGTCCTTCCATTGTGCTTCTCAGATTATCACCATTGTTGAGCTTTCAACAACTTTTGGTTCTAAAATTATTCCTTGTCGGCTTTCTTCCGTACAAATGAGAGAAATTGTTTCATTTAATGATGGTGTCTCCTCTTTGACAATAATCTAGACTCTCACCTAATCAAATTTTGCATTAAGCCTTGTAAGAAAATCGTAAACTGTCTTTTTCAATAAAATTTTTTAGGATCACAGCATCTTTTGGACATCTAGTCTTTATGCATTTGTAGTGATCAAGCTCTTGCGATAGGTTTTGTAGAAAGTAGCATACTCCATCACGGTCTTGCTTCCTTGTTTCGTGCTTCCTGCTTTGACCTTGATTTCAAAGATTTGAGCAGCATCCCGAGCTTTTGAAAGTGTTTGTTTAGCGGCATCCCATATGTCCTTTGTAGTTGAAAGGAACATAAGTGTATCGCTAATTTCTGGAGTCATGGAATTCCACAACCATGACATAATCATGGAGTCTGCTTCATCCCATACCAAAAAATTAAGATCTCCTTCTTTTGGCCCTCCTCCGAGGAAATGATGTAATTTCCCTTTTCCCCTTCAAGTAGATCTTCAAAAATTGAGACCACTTTAGATAGTTCTTCCCATTCAGGCGATAGGATGGTTGCATGCTTTGAAGGTCACCCCATCCTTGGTACACCATAGAATCCTCTGTTTGGTCAATGCTCTGCGAAGAATTAATTTCTGACATTATGGTGTCTGTATGACTCTGAGTAGTAATGAAGGCTTCCAAAAAAATTCCCTCCGATCTTGAACCATAAAGGCCTATATATATATATATATATATATATATAACCTCTCGGTTTAGTAAACCAAACTGAGCCGGGTCTTTAAAAAACTCGGATTGAGCAACAGCTAGGGGACAGGGACTTATTCCGCACACGTGAGTCGCTTCCTTCTCCGTCCCGTAAGTCTTCGTCCGTCTAGGGCTTTGCTTCGGCCTCTTCTTCTACAAGCTCCGTCTACGTTTGCACGACTTTGTCCGTTTGGGGCTCCATTCGCAAGCTCCGTCTGCAAGGGGCTTCGTCCTCCTAGGCTTTGGCAGCAAGATCTATTTCCGGCTTCGTCATCCGTCTGCGAGGAAAACTTGTCTTGCAACTTCGTCGTCCATCCGCGAGGAGTGACTTCCGTCTAGGGCAATGAAGGCCTTTCTTCATGATGTTTTCCTCTTCAATTCCTCCAAAAAGCTTTGATACCATGTTAATTTGAGAGGTATGAGAGGGAAAAGCATAAATCTTATTATACACTATGATCTCTATTTATAGATCTATACAAGATGTTTTAATAAGGAAATAAATAACTACAGAATAATGAACTATAACTCTTCCTAAATTAGTTGCTCATCTATGGAAGGTGTTTAACGTGATTAAGACGGGCTTCCCACGGATCTCTCCTTGTACCCATGGGATCAACATGAGAATGAGAGGCTGAGATTTAACATATATTATCCAATTTGAAGGAAAAAAAAAACTCATTTATCCATCTTCAGTTATTAAAAAATCACTGATGACAAACATAACTGAATTTCTCAATGGAACAATGAGAAACAACACCAGCACCTGACCAACATTTAATAAGATTGGGCATCAAGGAAGTTTAATCACAAGAAAAACAGATACCACAGAAATTATAGCAGGCAATCAAGTTTATATTTTTTAAAATGCAACATTGCAGTAGTATTTAACAAAATGAAACACAATAGATCTAGTGAAAACATAATGACAGAACAAGCAAAATATGGGGGGGGAATGCTTCAGAGCTGAAGAGCTTTAGAACTAGCCTGGAGTTCGGCTAACTTCTCACGTATTTGCATGTAACCCAAGTGCAACTTCCCTCCAAAATGATCAGCCAATCGACGATCACTGAAAAACAAATAGTACTTAAACATGGTGTTGAGAACATAATTCAAATGTAGTATAAACCGTCTCTTCAAATTCAGTCAACACAGTCGACCTCATATTTTTAGAACTAATCTACATAAAACAGAAAACACGCACATTCTTTAGCTGCAAAAGTTTCCTCGTAAAATGGGCCCAAAAGCCTGCTGGTAAGAAGGCGTAATATGCAGGTCAAAAGCTGATGAACCTGATGGCCTTAAACTGGGCTTTAATAGCCTGTAACAACAGACTGAAATGCTATCATACAATTTGGCTTACCTGTCATAAACGCTTAAGAAAGCTCCACAAATGTCACAGACACGTAGCTTCTGATCAGTCTGCAAAAAAGAACTTCTGTCACACTTGTCTGCTGAAAACATTTCATATGGTCCTTCACACCAAGCTGTATTCATCAATATTTACTGAAGGCCCTCACAAGCAAAGAAAAATATGTAGGAAGCCATAGTAATAATGGCCAATTAAAAGATATTAAAATGCCCCAAATAGCTGCAATAATACATCTGTTCAGTAAAAACGTGAAAAATGAAAATCGAGTAACAAAATTGGGAAAACAAAATCTATATTTCATCACCTCAAATTAATTTAATCAGCTAAGCAATTTACTAACAGTAGTAATGTGTTCAATTTTTGTATATCATATCTGCCAAAAAAAGAATGTCGGCATGTTTTTAACTTGTGCTCGCTATAGTGGCTTTTCATCCTTTTATAGTCACAAATTTGAGACCACCCGGCCTCTCCGCATTGTATATTCAGAGAGAGTTTTAACGGATTAAGTTCGGGGGGAAATTTTCTAAAGGCAGATTAGATAGAGATAAGACATTACCAAAAGATTTCGCCCTCTTAATAAGAAATTTATGATCTAAGTTCTGGTTTCCTATAGGCGCAATCCCCAATAGTTGATTACCCCTCTCGATAACAAAAAAGAACTTTCGATTAAGGATAGTCATTGAACAGATAGATAGTATCTAACATATAATAGCAGTAGATATAAAATTTAAAATTAGAAATTTCATCACCTATCACTTAAAGCGTATGGTAGGGGGAATTATGATGAACCAGATCAAGATCCCATGGTTCAATTGTCTCGGATCATCATGATCCCTAGTCTGTTTAGTCAAAGGAGATAGTCGGCCCAACTTGACCGAAGGATCCTTGTCGGCAACCATTGGTTGCTTCGAACAAGGGTACCTTGTAGAAATGGGATGAATGTTTGTCTAAGAGATGAAGCCAAGTCAACCTTAGCTAATAAAAGGCTTTGTGCCCTATTGATTATACCTTATGATTCATTACTCAATGGTAAATAGCCATTGAAAAATATACTAGCTTTTAGCCATGCCTTATGAAAATAGAGTCATTCAACCAAGCCACTAGGTTGTTGCAAATCTGGACCCAAGTCTTGTGATTTGGATGATAACAAATATTATTGTATTTCTTACTATGCTATCTCCTGTTAATTGCTATTATTGCATATATGTTTTTTTGTGCACTACCATTTCAGTTCTACTGTACAATATGCAAAAGTGTTCAGCTCAAGACTGGATAGAATAAGGTTAAATATCGGGAAGAGTGTAAACTCTCTGTTATATAGAGGGAAGTAAGAGTGTAAACTCTCTGTTAGAGAGAAAAATGGAGAGTTGGGTCGCTGTTCGAGTTGGATTTAAGTTGTTAAGGTATTAGAGGAGATGTGGTCGTGTTTGGGTTGGATTTAGCTGTGAAGGTGGTAATGTAGGATGAAGTGGAGTGTACAGGTGGGTTGATTTGGTTTGGCTGTAATGAAAAAAGGGGTAGTGAATTGAGTGGGGTTTTGTTACTGGTTTAGTAGAACTGTGAGGGCTAAGTGTTGGGCTAGTTGTCGATGATAGGCTGAGAGGGCTATGAGGGTTGTTGTTGTAGGGAAAGTAGATAAATGCTAGTAGGTGGCTGAGATGAGTATGTAGGAGATGGACAGTTGCTGTTTTGGAGGTAAGGAAGATGGGTTTGGTGGTTTTGTTGAGCTATAGGTGGGCGGCACAGTGGAGTGACAGGCTTGGGAGGGTTTTTTTTGGCTTGCAGTTGATAGCAGGTGAGGATGGGAGAGGGGCTGCTGTTGAGGTTTTAGTTGGAAGTGTAATGGCTGAAGTGGTGAAAGATGGAAGAGGGCTGGGCTGTAGTAGAGGGATATTCAGGCTCTTGTGAGGAGCTGAGTAACAGAACAGGTGTGAGCGGAGCATGAGAGCAGAGAGTGAGTTGAGTGTGCTTGTGTGGGAGAAAAGGCTAGCAGCTGCTACTATGTTTGCTCGACAGAAAGGTAGGAGTAGTTAGGGAGATCAACTGTAGGAGGGAGCTTTCACGGGTAGGTGTTGGTTTAGGTGGAGCAGTAGCGGCTTGGAGATATGAGAGGAGCTTGGGGTTTCTATGCGTATAGCTGTGAAAAAGTTGAGTGTGGAAGTAAGCTGGTGTTGGGAGGTCGTATGAGCGGAGGAATGGAGAAGACGGGTTGTTGGAGTGGGATGGGACAGAGGGATCAACACTGGAGCAGGAATAGTAGAGGGAGAGAGAGGAGAGAGGAAAGAAATGGAGTGGGCTGAAAATGGGAGGTGACAGAATATAGAATAGGCTATTTAGATTTTATTTTGTTTATTTCAGCCGGCTGACATAACTTGGCAGCGTTTGGATGACTGGGGCAGCAGCGATGAGGCAAAGATTTGGTTGGCTTTGGATAGGATTTGGCAGAGGATTTAAGAGGGGTAGGAATAGGATTTGATCAGAAAATAGATAATATATACATTTATTTTAATTAAAATAATACTTCAAAATAAATAAAAGCTGTGAATTGATTCTCGTTAATTGTGCATCTCGATTTGTGTGTAATAATTGTCTCAAAACTAGTGCAAATATCATGCAAGAACTATGGCAATATTATAGTCATTTCAATATGATTTCAATGTTCCAGACACCACGACAAAGTCCATTCTGTGAACTTACAACGTTCAGGCAACATCACACAATATTTTGTCTGTAGTCTATCGATTTCGATCACCTTCACCCGATTCAATTGAAGGCGTGCATCGATGCAATCTATTTCATAGTCGGATAAAGTTTTGCGCCATTTTGATAGCGATCGAGGTGTTCTGATGCTCGTGATAACTGCCAATTTGTGAGTCGTCTTCCTCAATGCACTCGATTGATCGTGGAATATGTATAGAGGTCAACAACAAGAAGAAATGCAAGCATTTGCATATATTTTGTAACCTTATCCCTGCAATATTGTTACTCCATTTTTCTACCGCTTGAGGCTATATTCAATTTGAAATGATAACAATACTAGAATTAAACTAGTACAGTACTGCAGTTAGATTTACCCCAAAACTTTTACAATAAAACAGTTGGCCAGGGAAACATAATTGTGTAGTTTATGTTCCTAGAAGCTATACTTGCTTATTTAACTTCTGCAAACGTTTCTGAAAGCAGAACAGAATTCGGAAATCACAAATATTGATATAGATATTTTATAAATAAATATTACCTAAAGAGTTCAATCAAATAGCCAGTCACCAATAGAAATATCCCTGAAGCAGTTCAGCCGACTATACAAGCAAATCATCGTGCAAGGTGAGTAAATTTGTACAGTAAGTGCTACAAGTCAAAAAGCCTACTCACCAGACAAGGTTATCTACTTTACTATCCAAATTACAGTTCCAACGTAAGTAATGATATATTGACTATCTTGAAGATCTATTTGTCCGGCATTATAATTTTTACTATAGTCATCGCCAAGTTAAACTGATTAAATTTGTCGAAATTAATTGAAGAAAATATATGCAAAATGATTCAATTTAAACTCAAAAGTTATCGTTAATAATTATTATATCAACTTAATATGCCCCAGTTGGGCATACTGATAGGAAATACTTGATTTCAAGTATTTCCTATTCACTTTCTAGCAATTATCCAAGCAAAAACTGCTGCTCACAGCAGAAAAACAGCAAAAACAGAGAAAAATCTGGGAAAAACTTGAGAAGAAAGGGAGGACCGGTCTAACACATACCTACCACAATTAGCATTGACCACAAAAAATTCAGTAAGGTCAACGTGCATACTCAAATTTTCTAGAACTTAAGAAGTGAACATACTTAGGACTTGTTTGGAAGAACCATTTCGACTGCATTTGTGGTATGAAAAATAGTTAATGAAAAATCATGTTTTCTTAGAAGATAACTTTTTCATCATTTTTTTCAAAATTTTGCCTTTAAAAAGCTGTTATTGAGAAGCATTTTTGAAATTGTGGATCAGAATAAACTTCTAAAAGAAAAAAAAAAAGGACAGCTTAAATTACCCCAAACAAAGTTCAACAAATTTAGCTTAATAAAAGAAGAAAAAAACAATTTAAGTGTGCCTACATTGCAGAATGAATCATGTGAAAGAAAGTTAATTCGTTTAAGAAGTACAGATAAACTTAAAGCTTAAAATTAATCATCAAGAAAACAGTAAGGAACAGATGAAATGAAACTCACAATTCGCACATCAACAGCAGTATACTTTGATGAGTCCAGAGTTGGCTCCTGCCGAGCACTCATCTGAAAAGAGGGGAGAGAAATGGTATAGAACATCAGCAGACTAACTTTAGATAGGTAAGTAGGTAAGGTAGTAAGATATAAAGTAGAATTGAACTATTTAGTACAATGAATAATCAGACTACGTGAGAACCTACAGCACAAAACAGAACCATAAGGACAATAAACCTTTTTAAGAGCCTCAGCTTCTTCCAAGGCTTTCTGCGCCTCTTCTATCATTCCTTGCTCACCTGCAAAACTGACAGAAAGTCACAACACGCTCTCCCCCAGATAGAATTTGCATTTCCCCTAAGAATTTTATTAAATTGTCTCCAAAACATGCATGCTCCAGGGATAGGGACCTATTATGGCACATACGTAATTGCAATTCTTTTAGCATATTTGTATAGAATAATCATATGACCTTGGCAAGCCAGATCCTACTTTCCAAGAAAAGTATTGCGGAGAACATGCGGCATTCCCTTTGCCATGCCTTACTTGCTGAGACTTATATATTTGCATGCCAATGACATGTCATGCCCATCGAAATACTCATAGTTCAATCTTTTTCTTTTTTTTAGGGACTTATATATTCACACTTTAAATGCAGTCACTATAATGAAATGATTCAAAACAGATAGAAAAACATAAAATTAGGCCCTTTTACCCAAGAACCAAGGATGATGAAAACAAGAAGGGAGACATACCAAGATCTTCTGCCTTCTTGAGCTTTTGATTGATCATCTCCTGGGTGTGAGGATCGGGAGGATTTGGCATGGGGACAGGTGCTAACTGTGGAGGGTTCTGATTTGGTTGTGGTAAAGAGGCCCTATCTTTGTTAAAAGCATCAAGGAGAAGCATAGCCTGCAATAAAAAGTGAATCGCATAGATGTCTTCCAGTAAAAAAAAAAGGTATTCTAGAACTAGCATAAAAGAGCATGACTTTCTAGTAATCATCAAGAACTAGCCATAAAGAAATATATGCGCTCAAGTTACTAGCAACACCTGCTTATCAGCTCTTTTTGTTCTGAGCTCTTCCAATGCTTCTTGAGCCCGTATTTTACTGTCAGTTTTCACTTCCAAATCTGTAAACTCAAACAGTATAACCAATCAGTGTGAACCCACACATTGTTTCATCACAAGATTCAATGTTCAGTTATGATGCATTGGAGTTAAGATATAAAGAAAATATTTTAAATAAAGCAAAAGTTATGAAGCAGAAGATTTTTTTTCTTCAAATTAAAGTTCAGCAGAAGCCATAATAAGAGAGATGGAAAGCAAACAATGCTCTATATGGTGAATACATAACTAAGGAATGACATAGCTCTTCATAAAGAAATGTCATCTTAAAATTATTTTATCAGTCTTTTAAAAAAGCATACTGATTTTGGAGTTGTCTCAACGGTCATAATGCATTTAGCAGTAAAGATAGAGTTATCATTCTCATCTTTAAAAAAAAAAAAAAAGCATAACTATGTCATGCACTAGCCACATAAGTGAATTAGTGGTTCAAGGCTCAGCATCAGTGCATGTGTCTTTGCTTCAGCACTCAACTTCAAAAAAAAAAAAATTTAAAAAAAGGCACAATTTTGGCTTCAGCAAAGCGTAATATTTTTGTGTATCATTGCACACAAATTGAAAACAAAACACACTCCATGAAATCACAAAAGAGAACTTCCTGACCTAACTTTTGAACTCACAAGAATAACGATATATAAACAATTACTGAAATGTAGACTATTATAAAAAAGCCGCTTGGGATTTCAATTAAAAAAAATATGCTCGTTGCTTTTAAAAGAAAATCCCATCTCTTAATACATAATATCTGAATTTATCTCCTCAATTAAAACCATGAATTTGGTGCCCATACACATAAAGGAAAACATTTATCTTCTGGTATTCCAGCACCTTTCACATATCAAGCTATTTAGGCGTTCCTACTAATCAGCTTTCCATGTCAAATTTGTAGTTTGAAAGTATGTACATGAGTAATGGCGTTATTGTAATCCATCTCTTACATCTTCACCATTATGGATTGATTTATCCTCTCTACATAGGCGTGAGGATTCAAGAGGCACAGCATTCAAAATAAAGAACTCTGATTTTGTCAAAGTATGTCTCCATTGTTGAGTCCATGAACCCAGGTGTCTCATGTATGGCACATTAATGATTTGAGGATAACAAAACTCTGTGTAGTTTCATCAAATAGTTTGCTAAGTACTATTATAGTTTTAAATATATATTAGATAAACCATAAAGATAATAACCTATTCCACTAACTCAAAGCACCTTGAGCCTTAGTAGCTTAATAATGAGCTATAAACGGTGAATTAAAATAATTTCATATGACAAAGTGCCCAAGTAATAGCTTAGCATGTATTTAAGTATTGTACAAATCAGTATAGAATTACTCCAAAATATCAAAAAGATGATGGACACACAAATAAAACATAACAAAATAATTTTTAGTCAAGTTATTTTAATTATATTTGTAAAACACTTTAAGTATGTTCAAATGATAGGAATTAACTAAAGGTGTACCAAAAATGTAAATCAATAATTTAATTGTTAAGCATTCATTCAAGTAAATCATTTTATATCAACAATAAACATGCCTTAACAAATGCTATCGGTCCTCTGCTAACTTCATGAGATGCCTCTAAACTTAACATCGCTCAATAAACTCACGAAGAATTTAGCTTATTAATTTAATTATTGTGAGCCTCTGCTAACTTTAACGAGCATGTGCTAAATTAATAGCAAGCCTCCACTAACCTTAATGAGCCTCTACTAAGCTAAGAAGTTAAGAAACATCTATATCTATCTAGTTGTCTGTTATGTAATAAAATTCTTATTTAGAATGACTTTAGTCTTTGCCAAATTATTTCTAAGCTTGCTATGGAATCCTCTACATATACTAAAGTAACTAAACCTATTCTAATGATTAAAGAGTTAGAGATTAACATATAAAAAATTATCCTCCATATATATTCAAAGAAGAAAAGTAAAATAGGTGCTCATCTCTCAAATCACGAGAGATAATATTATAGTAACATATGTTCTCTCAATCATTAGTTTTAATGTATTGTATTTTCATTGTATTTTTACACTGTATAAGCATTGTATGGAGAACAAGAAGAAGGAAAAACTTCTGATCACCTTCATTATTCAAGAGCACTTTGATCTAAGAAAATTCTTTGTAAGAAAAAAAATTACGAAAACTTGGTGATAGACTTTATCAAGTTTTATTATTGGATTAAGAAAAAGTTATTCTTAACTCCGGAAACAAAGATTTTTTTATGGTTTACTTCCCTTTAAAGGAAGATCATGTTAGGGCAAGATTCCACTTAAAGAAAGAGATTGTGAGGATTTTTCCATCCGTGAGTTGTGAAGGTGGGATTTACACATGTAATTGAATCCTAAGTATTATGGGTGCTTAGGCATGAACATTGATCATTAGGTAGGCTAAACTACATAAATATTGACTGTATCCATTTGGCTGTAGTTAGATTTATTTTCATTGCAAATAAATTTGTTATTTACCTTCTCATGTTCATATTGTAATTTATTTGATTAAATCAATCTTATACTAAAGTAGTTGAGTAATATTACTTACTACACTTAACAATTCAATTGCTCTTCCTTAAGAATGAATCTTAAGCATAAATTTATGTATAAGTGTATAACACAATAATATAATCATTATTTGGAAATTTTTGTTTGGAGTTTAACAAGGGTAATCCTATAAGCATTAGGGGTATCAAAAAATGATCAAACCCGAAAATATGGGTTTTGGTTCACCCGTTTAATAAACAGGTCAGGTTTGGGTCCGGAATTCCGACCCATTTATTAAACAGATCGGGTTTGGGTTGACACACCAACCCGATTTTGACCCGAAATGACACATTTAAATAATTTTTTTCCTTAATTTTTTTTATTTGTTGGTATGATTGTCTTATTTTTATTAATTAATCTAAAATTTATTGTTAAAAAGTTATAAACATTTTTTAAAATTAAAATAAGTTATTGGGTCAAATTCGGGTCAATCAGGTTGCTGGGTCAAGTTCGAGTCCATATTTTTTACACATTTATTAAACGGAACCGGTTTGGGTTAACCAGATTTAGGTCGGGCCAATTTTGGGTCGTTGTTGACCTGTTTTGACAATCCTAATAAGCATTTAGTGTTTATTCCTTATATTTGTGCTTAGAGTCGAACACTCACTAACTTAATCATTTATTAAACACCATTAATTAAAAGATAGTATTGTACTTATTTAAGAATTAATTTAATTTATTTTGATTACAAGCTCATGCATTTAAATAGTAACACATCAAGTACATTATGGTCAACGTATTTACCATCTTATAATATATCACATATTGTATAGTTTATTGCTCACATTTGTGTATACATTTATCATTTGTTATCCATTGTTAGACTACTACTGTAAAGAGTTGCACATAACAGGTGAAGTTAATGTGAAATCAAACAATGGATTTATAGAAACTCGCTTGTCTAGTTTAATCGTATATGTACCATCATTATCATGTACAGTATCACTTGTATGTCGCGTAAGACCAAGTGTGTGTATTCTAATATTAATGAGTGTAATTATTTATATATATGCAAACTGTGTTTTTTTTTTATCTCCTACACTTGCACACTAGATCATTTATCTAGCAATTATATTCATAGCTTTTACATGTTATTTCATTGATTGCTTCTGTTGTAAATATTTACATTTATAGTTTTCATATTTCATTGTGCTTGATAGTGTGAGATTTAAGTTGGGAGAATTTCATAAGAAAATTAAGTAGTGTCAAACAAGTTGTAGACCCAATGCACATTGTGTATATTATATCTCCTACACTTGCAAACTAGATCATTTATCTAGCAATTATACTCATAGCTTTTACATGTCATATCATTGATTGCTTTCGTTGTAAATGTATACAGTTATAGTTTTCATATTTCATTGTACTTGACTGTGTGGGATTTGAGTTGGGAGAACACTGCACCCCAACAAGCCCTTCAGTATAAATTATAATTTTGTATATTCTAAATTTTCTATTTCACAATACAAACAAAAATAGTTACTTAGCAACTAATTTGTTGTTTTAACCTTTTATGTCATGATTGCCAATTTTATCTACTCTTAATGAATTTACCGTAAATTAATGTAAAGAGAATTATAAATTATTAAGTAGTAAAAAAGCTTTATAATTTTATTGCTATATTTATTTCTTGTGTCCATGTATTTACAACTGCATAAATCAAATTCTTCTATTTAAAAGACTTTTTTAGAAAGATGTTGAACAGTAGTTAATATTTCACATTTTATATTTATTTTATACATTTAGATGCACATAAACTTTAATATTCATTTGAGAATTTATTATTGAAATTTTTTCCCATTGACAAGTTAATTTAAGAAGAAATAGTATTAAAGTTTTCTTAAGTAATTTATTGAATTTAGTAAATATAAAATAAAAATTATTTAATAACACTAAATTCTTGTACACATTTTAAAACTTATATTATGAAATTTAGGCACGTACATTCTTACTAGTAATAGTAAAGTGGTCATAAGAGAATTACAACATTTCGACTTGAATGTGCTAGAAGGTTCAGACGGTGCTTGCAAAGAATCTCATAAATCAGGCAGAGTATATTATCTACTCAAATGGACAAGGATATCAAAACAAAAAGCCTTTAGTTAGTTAATCTAATGACGTTAAAAAAGTTGGCACCTTCAAGCCGATATGTCTGCCAAATGCCAGAGGTTTTAGATGCCACCAAAGGCACCTACCCAACAAAGTGAAGGGATCAAAATTAAAATAAAAAAACTAGCTCACTTAGGGATTGTGTTTTGTTTGAGGTAAAATGAGCATAAAGTAAATATTTTGCATGTATTTTTACTTTAAAGATGTTTGTTATGGAGTAAATTCAATGTAAAGTAAACTGGCAGTGTATTCAAATATTTCAAAGACTTTATTTCCTGGCCACATCAATTTTACTTTCCAGATCATACAAAACCCTTTTTTGCTTACTTCTCCACTCTCCGCTCTCTTTCTCACTTTGCCTCGTCAGCCACTTGGTCAAGTATTAAACTCCATTTCTTCAATCACGAACCTTCATCAATACCATTCATATGAAATTCTTTGCTAGAAACTCCAATATTGGGTAGGAAAATGTAAAACATGACAACAACACTACAGCAAAATTATGAAGACTATCACGATCTGAGAGAAAAAAAACATTGTTCAATGGTTTTAAGTTGTGATTGTTTCTTTTTATTTAATTTGGCTTCATTACTTTCAAGAGTTAGGTTAATTTTCTTATTGATAAATGAGGGGAAAACATTTAAGATAGAATGCGATTAATTTCTAGTGATAAAAAACAACTTTCATTGTATTTATTGCCTTAAGGGAATATTCTATAAGATGATGGTGAGACCTGAAATGCTTTATGGTGCAAAATGTTGGCCATTATAAGAGAACCATAATATTTAAGTGTTGCAGAGATGAGGATGCTCATGTGGATGAGTGGCTTTACTCTTTAGAGACAGGATACGAAACGAGCATATACGTGAAAAGGTTGGAATAGCTCCAGTGGAAGAAAATATTAGAGAGAGCCGCCTTAGATGGTTTGGTCACATAAAATGGAGGCCTTCCGATGACCCGGTTAGAAGAGTAGATTTATTAGATTTGTCTTATGTTAAGAAAGGTAAATATAGGACTAAAAAGACTTGGTTAGAAAATATAAGAAATTACGTTTCTCTATTAGATTTAAATGGAATTTAACTCTTAACAGGACATAATGGAGAAAAAGATTCATGTAGCTGATGCCACCTAGTCGGATAAAAGCTTGAAGTTGTTGTTGTTATTGTTGTATTGTATTGTATTTATTGCCTTTATTGGTTTATTTAGCATTGCAATTTATTGATTCTTCCCTAAAAAGAGGTACACTTACAATGCTATTTTAATGCAGCACTAACTCTAAACTTCACATCCAATAATAAAGAAAAATTGCATTTACTTTACATCTAACAAACAAATTCAAGTAAAATGAATGTGAGGCATTAATTTTAATATACATTCTCAAAATTCAAGCATTAAAAATACATCAAACCAAATTACTATATAATAAATCTATTTCAATTTTAAATTTTTTTAAAGAGTGAAAAAAGATAATCACCACATTAGGCTATGTTCAGTAAAATCATATGTTTCAAGTTTCATTAAATTTCAAGTTTCAAAACAATGATAAATAGATTAATGTTAGGCAAGGCAGTGTTTTAATGATATTATTAGGGCTCACCTTAGGGCGGGGTAGGCCAAAATTGCCCTGGGGAAACTGGAGAAGGCATTAGGCCTATAGAGTGTACCCTGAGCACACAAGGCATGCCTTTACTCCCCATGAACAGAGTAATCACTATGTGTTATAAATTAATGAACTTCCATTAAATAATTAGAAAATCCAAAGAAGCTATCTACTCAAATAAAAATTTTCTTTTAATCCATTAAGCATGTCATAATATTATTTCTAAAATTTGTAGAGACAAAAAAAAAATGAAGTTAATTCGAACAGCACCACTGCACCACTGACCCATTACTCCCTCACTGACCAACTATCTTACTGCTTCTGCCACACCAACCTACACCTCTCATCTAAGTACATTCATCAGTCCCTCTGCTTTCATTGAAAAGTTTAGAGGTCTCAATTATTCTTCAACACCTCTTGGCGGATCTTCAAATCTTGTCAAAGTATTTAGCAATTTATTTGCTCTTTATGGTTTGGATGACATGTGCTTTTGGGCTTTTGAGATCTTAGGGTTTTGGATGTTATAATGCTATACACATTTTGATCTTTGTATAATACAACTTTGTTTAGTCCTCTCAACTGACAATTGGATGTAAATTAACAACCAATTATTATGATTGTAGCATTAGATTTTGTAATTAGACTATGAAGCAATTTCAATTTTTGATTTATTTCATTTTTTCCCTTATATTTGATTTGTTTTTGTACTCATTTTATGAAATATTTAAAATATAAATTGACAAGGCTAATGCTTTGCTTCGTGACTAGTAAAACACTTTTTTTTTCGTAAAACACTATATATTTTAATATATACACAAACGCTTAAGTTTATAGCATGCATAACCTATGAGTCATCTAATCTCCATTGTTATCAATTTCATCTTCATAATCATTCATGCACTACTTTCCTTTACTATAGTTGAATACCTTCATTGCCTTCTTTATCTTCTCACACACATCCTCTTTATTGCCAAAAGTTATTATTCTAAATTGAAGCTCTTACACTTAGAATTGATCTAAGCTACTTCCCAAGGCAAATCCTTAATTATCCAACTCCTAGTGCATTTTTCACATCACCTTATGCCACATTGTTAACATGAAAAACAAGCTCATATGTCTAGTTTGAAGTATTAGCACAGATCTCCCCAAGCATAACAAGGTGCTCATCTCATTGCCTAATGCTTTAAGGTAAGACACTAGTCTAGTCAATGCCTTAGTGATGCGGTGAAGCACTATGCCTCACTTCACCCTAGTGAATAATCGAGCACCTAAGTAAACTTTAACATCATTAAGCATTTTAGGGAGAAATATATTCATGACAGAAATGAAGTAAATTTAGAATGAAGAATGTACCAAAATGTCATTCTTATTCAATAACTGTCACATTAGAATTACCAAAGAAATTGAACATTTTACAAAAAAAAAATTCATTTGTCAAATCTAACACAGAAATCTAGAAAAATATTCAGAACTAAACACTAAAACACAAAATCTGCTAACCAATAACAATAAAAATTCACTAAATCATTACTAAATTGCATATTACATGATATTGGAGGAACAAATTGCCGCATATATTAACCTTATCATCCTTAAAAATTAGATAAACAAGATTCACCTCAGGTAGCTTGAAAAAGATTGCATTCTATAACAAAGGTACATGGAATAATATTGGGACAACAAATTGCCACATATGGCACATTTTCATCCTTGAAAATAGAAAAAAGTAGATTCAGTACGGGTAGCTTGAAGAATATCGCATTACATATATATACACAATAAGAAAGCAGGATTGTTAAAATAGGGGCATGGCAATGAGTACCAAAAGTATCAACTTCCTTTAGCTTCTCCTTAATTTGCTTAGACAACTCCACCACTTCTGGCGTCTACAATACCATAAATAAGTTTATTCCACAATAGAACTATGTTTTGCGGAGCATTATTAGAATCATTGTATGCACATCAATCAAAGTTGAACAAGTACCTGAGTAACTTGAGAAACAGATATAGCTATGGCAGCCTTAGCATCCTCATCCTCTAAACGCTTCAGGGCTCTCTGAATTTTTCTCTCACACTCTACAATAAGTCTTTCAATTAATTCTTCAAGATCTCTATCAAAGTTGTGCATACCTTTCACTTTTGCTACTTCATAACTACATATAGTTCAGGAAGAACAATAACAACAGGTTCCAGAAACTCCCTGAAAGTCATCATATGCATTTTATCCTCTCTGGTTTCACTATATGCATGAGAAACATCAACCCTATTCTTTATGTTACCACAATAAGCAATTTCCGGCAAATGGCATATGCATTATTCCCAAAAACGAATCCAATAATAATGTGGAAATGCGAAATTAAAAAACGATGCTTCAAAGTCCTCAGCTTGTTTCTTTTTTACATGCCTTTAGGTAAAATATGGATGATAACAAGTGCTTCACCATTAAAAGATGTATGTAAAATTACTCCGACACAAAGTGATTCCCAGAGAGCAAGCTAAAATTAGTTATGCATGTTTAAAAATAACAGAAAAAAAGAAAATCGCCTAGTACAAACCAGCATGAAAGGATACTCTTTTCTAAGTTGTAAGGAGTGCACCTTTGGACAAGGACCGAGATCCATTTTCTGATGCACAAACAAATCTATTAGCACGAAATTTAAGTTCACAATCACTCACAATTTTCTGATACAAAAACAAAACCATTAGAACGACATTAATGTTTATTCTAATATTCATCCTTTTTGTTGCATCAGAAAGCTAAATAACTATTTTTTTCATAGGAAAATGGAGAAAAACAAGCAACAAAACGGACACGACACTCCTGAAAAAAGAAAACGAGTGAAGCTTGAAGGTTTAGCACATAACAACAAACTAATCCGAAAAGTGTGAATAACAGAGCAAGCAGCCCAGAAGCCCTAAGCTGGAGACACCAGAAGTATAAAAAGAAATGGAAGGAATAGCGAGAAAACAGCAGGAGAATAGGGGATAAGCAAAGTTATTTTATAATTACAGTGAGTTGGAAGAGGTCGTGGGGGCAAAGGCCGGCGAGAAAGAGCCGGCAGACGTCGCGATCGGAGTAATTGCGGTCGACCTCTGTCACGTCCCCGTTCCTATTGGTCCCCATGAGAACGTCAAGCTGCTTCCTGAGGGCATCCATGGGCTAGGCCGAGATAGGGTTTCAGCGTCTCCCTGGGGTCGGACTTCGCGGGAAATGCTAGTGACTGGTTGAAGAAAAAGATTTCTCTGTTTTTGCAACCTTTTCTAGTTTAGCCTCTACGCTTACCAGCGTTGTTCAGGAAAGGTCAAATCGCGTAGCAATACCAAACAATAGGAATAACATCACGTGAAAAGATCCAATATCTAGTATAATGAGCTATACTGAGTAATACCGAGTTATATAAAAGTTGTACCGAGTTTTTTCTTTCCTAGAAAAAACTCGGTACAACTCGGTATAACTCAGTATTGGTCTTCGCAGAGCGATATTCCTCGTTATTATCAAATAATACCTAACAATACCGAGCAAATACCGAATTTTTTTGTGGGATTTTGCCTCCGACCGGACGTTCCTCTACGTCATTACACAGGACCTAATAAAAGTTCCTTGTTCAGAGGCGTGGATGACATGCTGGAACACAAACAATCTCGACTGTATATATATATATCTTTTCCAAACATACAAAATTAAATCTTTACTATATAACCACACTTTAATATCTCATTCTCTTACAAATCTTTCATGCTCCATCTCCTTTCTACGTTCCAATATTCCGTAGCATCTTTCTCCTTTTTTTTAATTAAAGACCTTTCTTTGATAAAAATCCAGCCATATTCCAATTCCTCTACCATATCTTCATGCTATTAACAATCACTTTCCTTTAGTAATCTATGTGGGATAGGATAAACATTATCATTTTATTTTGACATGTTCCCCACACAAGGGGGAATTTGGGGTAATGTTAAACATACTAATAAGTGTAAATAATATGTTATTTTATGTATTATATTGTCAGTGAAAATGTATTATTTTAGTTGTATTGTGCAGGAAAAATACATATAGTGCCGCGGCGTATGAAAATTATAAGTTCCATATAGTGCCACGGTGTCACAATCAATAACGTCTCGGCACCTAAATTGCCCTTTCAGCACCACAGCATCCGAAAGTCGGCAATGTCGCGGCGTAGCATATGTAACTTCCCAATGACACAACCTATCAGCAAAGCGATGCGACTGTTTTTTAAGTAACTGATCCACATCAGCAAAACAAGAAAAACATCGTAGCAGCGCGTTTGTTCATTTGTTAAGTGCAGTGGCGCAAATCTTTTTAGCACTGCAGCGCCAGATGCCTATTTGTGTGTTTCTATAAATACATGTTATGTTATGTGTGTAAGAGAGTTCAGTCACTTAGATAATTGTTTCATATTTTTTTCTTCTTTTACTGTCATTTCAGGTAAATCATACATCATTCAATTATTGCCTGATTTAATCTTGTGATTAATTAATCGAATATACTTAATTTTAATTTTTTTATCGTAGTGTACGAACTCGATCGTACTGTGAGATTGATATAGATGATATTTGGTCATCTTAGGATTTATCCTGGACAAGCTGCAATTTGATTGAACTAATCGTATTATACTATTATTCATTTGTACAATATGATATGAATAGATTATATTGTACTAAATGTAAATCATACAGTACTAACAAACAAAATTGAACTGGTCATACTATACAAACTGAACATCACATAGTATAAACGGTGAAAATTTGAATTGATAGTATTGTACTAACTAGTGATCATATAGTACTAACAAGTCAAATTATGGGTATCGTATTGTATGAATTGTAATAGATGAATTGAATTTTTAGAATATTTTTAAGCCCTCTATTTAAGCTTTTTCATAAGACTTTGTAAGATTCTTTTTAGCATTCATTGAGTTATTCTCTTCTAAAGAAACTTGAAGAGAGAGTCTAGAGCTTCAGATAGAAAGGGTAGAGTTTGTAAGAAAGAGAGAAGATCCTTCTGCGTTTCAAGGGAGCGTGATAGGGAGTTTCACACAATTACTCTGGTGAACTTTCACCTAAGTTCCTCTATGTGTCAAAATTTATCTTAATGGAAGCATTGGGAAGAAAACCTATTTGATGTTAAAGGACGCGGCTACTCCACTGCACCGAGAAATGTAAAGTGATTTGAGATTCTCTGCCTATACCAGGAGGGTGAGAAAGGATTCTAGATTCTTTGCCTTCACCAAAAGGGTGAAAAATGATTACAAGTTCTGTGCCTCATTAGGAGGTGACAAAATTATGGTCATCTGTCACATCGGGTTGTTGGAAGAGATTTTATAAGGGCTTCTACATATAGCTGTAGGGGCTAAAAGAGAGCCACTAAATGTTTAATGCAATACCTATAGAGGATGACTCTAGGGAGTGGACGTAGGTCATTATTTAATTGGACCACTATAAAATTCGGATTTGCTCATTCTAATTTTTATTTTCTTTATTTTACTTTTCTATAATTTATTTTCTTGAAAATTGCATGATGAAAAATTTATGTTTGATGTTAAATAGAGTTGATTAAATTATCATCACCAATATTATAATTGTTGTTAAGTTTATTAGCTTATACCCATGGTGATCAAATTGTTTATTTTAAGTTATTAAAAAAATAAAAAAAAAATATTTTATGTGCTAAATAAATTTTTGAATAACCAATTTATCTCCTCTCTTTCTGTGCCTAGGGATAGTTCAACGAGGTCTCACAACCTCCCCAAAATTTTAAGCAATTTTGTAAGTAAAAAGGAATATATAAGAGATCCATTGAACCGAACTGGTGATATCTATCTCTTGTATTTTCTTTATATTATATTATTAATAAAAATGAGTTTGCTTCAACTTTTCTCTATGTCTAGTTAAATTCTCTAGTTTTGGTTGATGATGTAAGTATCACATGAAATACTAATAAGTTTTCTTATTCCATAAATGATTAAAATGATATTTTCAATATTACTGAATTTTAATTTAATGCACGTAGTGGTCAGATGTGTTGCTAAAACTAGGTGTAATATCGAGCCTAGAAGGAGGGAAACATGCATAATCAGGAATATTAAATTAATATGTGTCATGCCTAGGCATAGGATATGAAACATACTAAATTCTTAAAGAGATGAAATAATTATAGGAAGTCAATAGATATCCTTTGCTCCTATAAGCTCGATAGAGATATTTGAATGCATCTACTCTGATTTGCATCATAATTAAAAGAGAATTATAAGAAAAAAATATGTTATCTACATTCATTAATCCAAAATATTGTATCTATATAATGTATTCATTATCTTTATTTAATTTTATTTAAGTGATTGAATCTCCATGAAAACTATTTTTATTTGAGTAAGATAATTGTTAAAATTTTAGTATACAGCATTAGTGAATTACAAGTAAGCATATCTTTCTCGTAGGATTGATACTAAACTCTATCATTATATTACTTGATTCGGCACATATTATTGCATATATTAAGTGGGGTTTTTATAATTTTTATATCATAAAAAACTTAAGCATTGTTAGTGATTGATAGAGCCTTAAAGCATTTCACAATTCTATAGGTTATTCCACAAGCCCCATTGCATACTCATCAAACTAAAATAATAAAAAATAAATACATGATGTGTGTCATAAGCTACTGCTATTGAGGGTCGTTACCTATCACACATAAAAAAATTTACATGGCCCTTCAAGTATTTGCATGAAAAATATAATGTTATACCTTCAAGTATGGTGTTATTATAAATGATGTTGTTATAGATAATTAATATGGTGAGGTTAGACGACTAGATTTGGTGCAAGATAATGAAATATGCACAACTATTTCTTTTTTTTTTCTTACCCCTTATTTTATATTTTTTTTCTTATTTTATGTTGGTACGTCTAGGTCTCCGCCAGTAAGTCAGATGATATTAACTTTGGATGTATGTATTTGACATACATTTTAACCCTATATTTTCTAAGAACTTAAGAGGAGGTAACTTATGGTTGTTAATTAGATTTTGTATATGTTATTGCTTAAAACCCTTTAACATCATTGGACTAGTTTCGTTCATATACTTGGGATAACAACCTATGAGATATTGGTTAGTTCTACCTCAATTAAATTCACTTCCAACTATCAAATCTAAGCATAACATTTAGCTTAAGAAACCTCCTTAATTTAAATTGCTTTCACCAAGCATGTTGAGTAATTACTAAGTGGGTTTGTGCCCATAGGAAGTTTCAATTCCAAATTTAAGCCAACATTAACACCTTATTAAGGAAAAAATATTTAAAATAAACTTAATAGACCTCAAGAAAAAACTACCCCCATATCCTCTCTCTCATTTACACATAAAGGAAGCTCACATGGAAACGGGTTAAGTTTTAAGCTATTTAGCCAAGTATTTAAAGCATTTTAGTATTTAAACATATTCTAGTTATACTTCAAGTATTTTATAGTTTGTAACATGGATGCATTAATTCTTGTCTTCAATGTGTAAGAATTTTAGGAAACTAGTATAATTATCTTATATAAAGAGTTCTAATATTTTATTAGAGTTGAAACTTGATTATTGAATGAATATTGATTTGTTATTATTATCTTAATATTCTTCTTCTCTTCTTTCCCTATGGCTTCCAATTCTCTCTTATCCTCTCCCCTTGTATCTCTTTATTTAGCACCCAGTTAACTTCTCTTTCCTCATATTATATTATTTGATATCAGATTCGAAATTGTAGTTTGTAGTTGTATGTCCACGAAATCTAGTATTTTTCATTAATCACACCTCAACCATTACGATTGCACGTGAATTTCAATTTGCTTTCTCCCTTTCTTGTTGCATCTCACTCTGTTACAATTCTTGACCACTTGTGTTTTATACACGCTTATCCAATTTCATTCTTTTCAACCATCTCCCACTCTTAGATGCATTTCACCCCTATGCCCCTGGACCCATCATGTAAGTAATTATGATATGTATTCATACCGAGATTTCTTTCAATTTTCCTCCTGCTTTATTATAATTCTACGCCATACACTTGTTCTATGTGACTGCCTTGTTCCATCTCATTTAGCTTTCTCTCACTTTTAAAGACCGTTTACCCATGTGTTCCAAACCATTTCAATGCATAACCCCAACACACCCATCACCTTTGTTGAATTCCCTTAGCCTTCAATGCTCTACTCACTCCCCTTTTGGCCTTCACCATGGAGAAGTTTACATTGTTGTAACACTTATGTGATCACTATTAACACTACGGAAAAACACGCGAT